GGAGACAGTGAGATATTTCAACAGGGAGATTAATAGAAATAATGTATGGATTTGTACCCTGCCTCCTTGCTGATTTACGTTATGCTATGTCATTGGAACAACAGGAGGAAATGCAATATCTCTCATATGATCAATGTTGCAATACCAAACCTCTTGTTGTGGTTGACTGTACATTCACAACAACACACTTTGGGAAATGAAATAGAAGCACTTCCTATCCTTCCCTTTTTTGTGCCTTACAGCCTTTCCATGTGAGTTATTTCAGGGACTCAAATTTAGTTTTTATGTTAAGCAGTGTTTCTCAAAGTACACAAGCTTTTTCTTTTTGAGGAAAGCTTTCTCCATCTGGAAATGGTGTGCCCCATCTTTTTGCTCTAATGGTGATATTTTCTGACCCATCATAAAACATTAATGTTTAGGCAATGTTTATTTCACAGAATCATCCAAGAGACTCTCAGGGGTGAGAAGAAACCATAAGGATTATATAGCTCAGTTCCCTCACCTTATATACAGGAACAGCAAGGTTCAGTTGTCCAACCAGGTTTTGCTCTCTGGGTTGCCACATCTCATAGGGCAAAAGTAGTTTTTTTTAAAGAGGAGAAAGCATTACCAAGGTAACAAAACACTTTGTGGGAAAATGTAAGAATGAATGTTAGAGAAAAATAAACATTCTTTCTCTGTACAAATGGATAAATGGACCAGAAGTTATGCCAAGTGGTCTGGAAACAAACAAAAAAGTAAGAAGACCCATTTCTTCTAGATTTCCAGCAGCTTCAAGTTTTGGCTGAATGGCTATGACAGTATAGAGAAGGACAATGCTATAGCATAGAATAAGGAAATATATCAGTAGGCATTCTGCTCAGCCTCCTCTCTGTCCTCTGCACTTTTTCATCGCCACATGGCCTCTTGGCTGGGGTGGGAGTGGAGGTACTATCTCCTGTATTGTAGCCTCAACTTATGTGTATGTACAAGACCTTTGCTCAGGAGCAATACTGCTGCAACCAGTAGAACAATGACCAATTGCTATAGGTTTTTTTAACATATTAAATATGCTGATTCACAAAGTATATTTTCATGTAGCTACACATTGGGTTCTCTTAGGTAACTGGCCTAGTAATGTCTACCCAATAATGTTAGTACACAGTAATTCATTCTGTTTTATCCAAACTGGTCACCTTTAAGATATATCTTTGTTACAAACCCGTACATACTCTTTTTTCCCTCTGCTCTGTCACCGAGATCCTATAGTGACTGGATTAAAGAAGTAAAGAAATTGTAAAATAATACTACCCTACATTTTTGGCAAACAATATATTTCAGAGAACTTCAAATAATAACTTCTCATTTTATCCTCACAATAATCCTTTGATGCAGTTACATTGGTATTATTCTCCATTTCACAGAAGAAAAAAATTGAATTCACGGAGCTAGTGAGTAGAAGGATTTGGGGAAAGAGGAGAAAAGTCATAAAATCAGAAGGCATGTAGTTCAATGTCCTCAATTTGAAAATAAAATATTGAGGTCTGGAGAGGTTAAACAGGTTACCCAAGGTTGTATTATTCAAGTTCAGCGTTAGAATGAAATCTCCATCTGCCAATTTCCAGCCTGCAGTTTCTGTCACGAGGGTATTCCCTCTCACAAATGGGTAAAGATGTGTTAGAGCAGGGTGATGGTACCCATTAACTGATGTCAAGCATTGCATTTTTAATGTGCTCTCCCTCCATCCCATATAAATATTCAGAGTTCAGGCCACATAAGAAATAACATACTGTGATTCTTTAGTGTCAAACTTTAGTGGTCAAACTGACCCAGCACCATTCATCTGAGATGGTAGAAAAATAATTTCAAAGTAGGAAAAACACCTCTTTCTATCTTCAAGGTTTCTTCTTATGTGATCAGAGTACATAGCTTTATTTTTTTTAAAGGAGTGACTTTTTAATATATATATATAGAGAGAGATAGATATAGATATAGATATATAGATATAGATATAGATATAGATATTGGTTTCAGAGAGGAAGGACGAGAGAGAGAGAAATAGAAACATCAATGAGGCAGAGAATCATTGATTGGCTAATTCCTGCATGCCCCCCACTAGGGACCAAGCCCGAAACCTGGGCATGTAATGAGAAAGAATCATTGATTGGCTGCCTCCTGATGCCCTCTACTGGTGATTGAGCCTGCAACCTGGGCATGTGCCCTTGACCAGAATCTAACCTGGGACCCTTCAGTCTCCAGGCCAATGTTCTATCCACTGAGCCAAACCAGCTGGGTCATAGCTCCATTTTTATTCTTTTATTTTTTTCCCTTTGTCTTGAAACATTCACTGAGCATCTTTTCCCCACCAGAAAAGCACTTTTCTCCAAGCTCCATGGGCCTCCCTTTCTTCTCCCTGATTCTGTGCTGCTGCTTATCTTCAGTTTCTGATCTCCTGTCATCACCATAGAAACAGGGACCTCTTTATGGAGGCCCTTGCCCTGTTCACCAGTTTATCAAAATGACCTAGAGGGGAACAAGTCTCTCCAAGGGCCCATTGTGAATCAAAAAGGTGATGATCAGTCATCCAAGTTCAAGGACCTCTTGAACCATTCCATCTGGCTTTCTAACACATAGAATTCACAGCAAGGGGGTATGTAGAAATCTACAGCAGAGAAGCACCCAGGGTACCTCTCTCAACTTGCTCTCTGTCATGGAAGCTGCACTCCCATGCCTCCTGAACACGGGATGAAAAATCTCTGAACGTTTTCATTTCACCCATCGCTCATTCATTTCCTGCCTTTCTTTCCTTGCAGTATTCTTCATTCTTGTTCTTCTCTCTCCTCTCAGCCTCTTTTTTTCCCCTCATATCACCTGATTTTTTTCTGTAAGCTGTTCTATCTGGGGCATAGTAAAAAACAAAACAAAAAACACCATACTAAAAGAAATGAAAACATTTTCTAAACTGCTCTCTATCCTGTTTTTCTTTCAGGGAACACATGAGTTACTACTTCTTTCAAAATCCTTTCTATAGAAATTAGCCCTCAGTTTTTATTCCATTTTCTCAACATCTTCAGCATGTATGGTTCGATCACTCATTAAGCACCTCTCAAATGTGGCTTCTTATTTTTATATATCTATTGATGTCTCTATCCTGTTTCCCCAACAGGAAGAAACATATGTCCTCAGCATTTCCTAAGGTATCCTAAGCAGTGTCTGTTATGAGCACAGTAGATGTTTGGTAACGATGTTCACCTTTGAACTTGATTGCATTTTCCTGGCTTTAGCTTCATTTGTTTCTGGTTGATTCTTAGTGAGAATTAGTTTCAGTTTTAAGATCCAAGAGGGCATGAGTGGCTTGAACTTCACAGTGCCAGACGTTGTAGATGTCTTATCATATCTGGAAATGGTTTCAGTGTTCCAACCTACCTTCTAATGTAAGTGTGAAAAATAAATCATTCAGGCAAGAGCTTCCATTATAAATATTATAAATCCTATGGAGTTGAGTAATTTCAAAACAGGCAGAGTTATAATGCCCCTTCATATAGTTTACATAAACTCTCTTCATAGAGAAAAATTTTACCATCCCTGCAAATGAAGACATTATCATGACTTAGGCAAGGCTTTGATGATAATAATAGGAACAATTACGGACTACCTATTACACTAGGCACTGTGCTTAGCATTTAATAATTTCATGAAAATGCTAACAGCTTTAATAAGTACTATTATTTTCTGCATGCAAAGAAATTGGGGTTTAGAGAATTTAAATAGAGCCAGGATTAAAACCTTTCAACCTTGCATGTAATAGGAACTTGAAAATGTGTAATGATGATGATAAAATATTTTCCTAAACTCCTCACAAAGTTTTATTTTAATATAGCTATATATTCTGTGAGAGTACATATTGCAAAAGACATTTTTTATCATTCTTGTTTTAGTAAGTTTGCCCAAGATCTTACCTCTCTCCTTTCCCAAAAGTTCTATAATCAGGTGAAATAGTAATTTAATAATATTTAATATTATTATCTTCAAATACAAAATAAAATAATTTTGACATGATACAAATAATAATTAGAACTAAAGCTTCTAGAAGCTGTTACATATGTCACCTAATTTACTACAGCAAATCTGAGAGGTGAGTATTGCTATTTTATTGTGATAAACTTGATACTGTCAAACTTGCTATAAATAGTGATTATAATAAAAGTTACAATGGCATGTAGTATTCCTTAAAAATGTTTTTCACATTTTCCATTTGTAGAAATAAAGATATCACTAGATAATATGACTTTTAAGAATATCTTATTTATATAAAAATTTAAAATACTACAAAGACATCATGGTAGTTACAATCTCTCCAAATCATGTCTTCTAAAACAGTTCATTAGGGGTAGTTATATTTATATGTCCGATAAATGCATTCTGTTCAATGAGAATTTGATGTAGTTATTTTTAACATCTTGAAGTGAATGCTCAAGGATTATTGATCTGAATCACATCAACTAATGGTTTAATCAACAGGTCACCTGCAAACAGCAATGTGAATTCAATTGATATGCTGCTGTGCTTGCATTGTGAAATGATTTATGTCTCACCCAGACATTACTATAAAACTCTAAGAGATATTGAATTATATGTTGGCCTTTTCTAAGAATTCTACTAGAACTTTGTTTTTAGACATTAAGTGAAAGGTTCTAGAGAATAACCTACATGGGCCCAAATTTGAATATAACCTGTGGAGCCTATAGAACAAGGGGACTTAAACTGGTTAATGTAAATACCACAAGTTACTGGCTGAGGGACCTACAGTTATGTTTTCATATGCCTACCATCCATTTAGGAAATTCTCTTTGCCAATTTTCACTTAATGGCCGCATGGGACTCTCAAAAAATGAATTGTTAACAGGTCTAAAACATTAACAATTTATATTATTATACCATTATCTCCTTTTTATTGGAGTAAACTGTATTGCAGTGTTATGAGTCTTTGACTAATATGCAGTATTTCTTTTTTAATGCAGGTAAATGGTTTAACTATGGGATAATCTTTCTCGTCTTGATTTTGGATCTTAATATGTGGAAGAACCAGATATTTTATAAGCCTCATGAATATGGACAGTATATCGGCCCAGGGCAGAAGATATATACAGTTAAAGACTCAGAAAGTTTAAAGGATTTGAACAGAACCAAGCTATCCTGGGAATGGAGGTCCAATCATACTAATCCTCAAACGAATAAGACGTATGTTGAAGGAGACATGTTCCTTCACAGCAGGTTCACAGGGGCTAGCCTTGATGTCAAGTGTATGGCTTTTGTCCCAAGTTTGATAGCTTTTGTGTGGTTTGGATTCTTCATTTGGTTCTTTGGACGCTTTTTGAAAAATGAGCCAGGCATGGAGAATCAAGATAAAACTTACACTCGCATGAAACGAAAATCCCCATCAGAACACAGCAAAGACATGGGAATCACTCGAGAAAACACCCAGGCCTCGGTGGAAGACCCTTTGAATGACCCTTCTTTGGTTTGCATCAGGTCCGACCTCAATGAGATTGTCTTCAAGTCTTCCCACCTAACGTCGGAAAACTTGAGCTCGCATTTGAATGAGCCTGCCAGCGCGACAGAAGCTGACCCTGATCCAACGACTTCTAAAAGTACACCCACGAACTAGATTCACGTACTTGGAGACAGAAAACAAAACAAAAAAAAAGCAACCCTGAGTGTACCTTTCAATAATTTAGTCTTTCTTTTTGTAAATGTAAGGTCTGCTTAATGTTAGGTAGAGAAATACAGACAATGCCACAACGGTGCTCAACATGCTTTTTCTAGGACTCATTGTTTTCTATTTGTATGATGATACACGTGCCTACTGTATATCCAACAACCCTCTAGAGATTGCTTTTCACAATTGCACAAGCTATTAACTGACTTTACAGCGTAGTAGAAGATTAGCTGATTACCTGTGTATCTGATGTTCAACCATAGTGGTGCCTTGAGACATTAAACTGTTTTTAATTGTACCAGAAATGAAGTGTGGAAGAGTTCTCTAATCTATGTCACATGGTGTTTTTTATTTACTTATATACAATTATTTTGATCTATACTTGATCTGTGAGCAGAAAAGAGGGGTAGCCTAACTGTGGCTCAGGAAATATTCTCTTGGTTTCTTATTCAGCAGTGGGGTTGGTGACTTCCATAACTGGGCTACAGAGATGCATGGTGATTACCTTTGAATTTTTATTGGCCATCCACCAAATGCTAGCACAGAGGCTAAATTCCATAACAGAAGAACGGTAATCCAGCACGGGTCACTACTTGTGAAATGTGACTTTCCCCAACCAGTAATTGCAATTAGATGATAATACTTAATTATGTTTTCCTAATTAAAGATAAATTGCTACTTGATTAAAAATGCTGCCCTTCACCTTCGGGAACAAAGGTTAAGAGGCACAGTTGGATGAACTCTCAAATTTATTGGCATTTACACAAAGCCCTAGAAAACCAAGGAACTGAAGTTGTAATCATGTGAGGGTTGCACAGCCTACCATCTACAATATTTGTACATCTTTCTGTAAATATGGCTCTGGACAGTGAAAATTGAAAATCAATATATGCCAACCCTGAGCAAGGGAACTACTATAAAAGTCATGCAAGGGAATCTTGTGAGGTAGAAAAGACCATGCATGAAAAGATATGTTTAGTGGTTTGTTTTGTGTGCATTTTTTTAATTTAAGAATTAAAGATTTCATATTAATAATTAAGAAAATTCTATATTATGTGATGTCATTTTGTTTATAATAGAGGGGTTCAATTGTATCTTAGTTTAACAACAGTCCTTCCCCCTATTTTTTCTAAACTCCATGCCAGACAAGTTAAGAAATGGAACACTCCCAATTTGCCTTTAGTTTTTTTCCATAAATTACGGTAACATGTTCCTTGAGATTTGGGAAGATCACTTTTAAGGCAAAATTATTTTTTGTCACATACCAACACAGCTGTATTTTGTCTTTATGATTTTTTAAAATCTCTCTTGTTTTGATCTACCTGCTTTTAAGCGTGCAGCATGCTGAATTTAGCATGCATGACACAACTCTGCACTTATCTGTCACTTGAGAGCCAGCTTTTATAAACATGTTTTTACAGTTGTTTATGCAGCAATTGGAGCCATGCACCTGCCGGTTTTTCTTTACCTTTAATAGCCACGCACAGCACTACTTAGGATCATAAGTATCTCTGACACTAAAAATGCAGAAGTCAAGTTCACTATAGTAACCCATTGACCATACTGATCAAAGAAACTTATCCCTCGCATGTGGTTACATTCCTCGTTACCAAATTAGCATAACAGAGGATTCAACTTTTGCCTCTAGGACAAGGAAGGAATACCACCTAGAACAGTGGTTCTCAATCTTCCTAATGCTGCGACCCTTTAATGCAGTTCCTCATGTTGTGGTGATCCCCAATTTCATTGTTGCAAATTGAACATAATTAAAGCATAGTGATTAATCACAAAAACAGTATGTAATTATATATGTGTTTTCTGATGGTCTTAGGCGACCCCTGTGAAAGGGTCCTTAGACCCCCAAAGGGTTCGCGACCCACAGGTTAAGAAACGCTGACCTAGAACTATATTTTTATTTATTCTTATAGAATGAAGAAGAAAGAAATTGATTTAGAAAGTGAGTATTTATTATTAGTATATAGTGTTCATTAAAAACAACAAGAAAAATGAACATACAATAACTCATAAACACAGATACCAGTATGGGGGTTACCAGAGGAAAAGGGGATGTGGGGGAGTTGTAAAGGCTAAAAGGGGTCAAATATGTGGTGACCAAAGAAGATTTGACTTTGGGTGGTGGGTATACAATATAATATATAGATGATGTATCATAAAGTCATACACTTGAAACCTATATAATCTTATTAACCAATGTTACCCCAATAAACTTAACAAAAAGTTAAGATGGTAAAAGCTAAAAATAAAATCTTAACACAGTAGATGCTTGAAAATATACTATTTGAGAATCTTTATCTGGGTATTAAGAAAAAAATATTCCAATGGGGGAAGTAATTAGCAGAAGTAAGGTTGAAAAAAACAAAACAAACAAACAAAAAAAACCACGCCAAACCTTAGAGCACTATGCTTCTGTGTTTCTAGGAATTAATGAGAGAAGCTATCAACTGATATGAAATATATCTTTAAAAATTCCATAAATATTAGTAACACATGGAATAATTTCCAGGGATGGCACTTTAATAGTCAAACAAGATTTGGACTTTCCAAGGCTTCCCATATCCAATTGTATATACCAATCTTGACCTTTTTATCTCCACATTAGTCTCCTACCTTTCCTCCCCCCCTATCTTTTTTTGGGATCTTATATATTCCATTTGCACATATATCAATTAAAGTTAAGAAAATTTAAAAAAAATCAAAGTTAAAATCACACCCATTCATGTGTAGTCTTAGATTCTAAGTTATATACCAATGGACTATGACTCTACAGAACTTTTTGGACTATTGAGAGAATTTTTTTTAAAGCATGTGCAGTAAACTCAGAAAATGAAGAGTTTAAAAAAAGGATTAAATATCACTAATCAGATTCTAAAGAAAGCACAACAAATGTGATGCCTTAATTGCAGTGGTGCTTAAGGAATATAAACAATTATATTTCTACTGTTTAGTAATTACAGTATTTTATTCTGGCAGAGATGGCATTAATTTAACATGATTTTAGTATTCTACACTATAAAGTATTTCATTAATAGTTTAAATGGGAGATGAAATAAACATCATGAATTTAAGCCTGATAATATATGCCTAGACATAAATCTCATCACCACATGACCACTTGTATAACTACAGTTAGTTACCTCATCTTCCCCCTGATGGTGGCTACTTATCATGTTCCCTTATCTTTTAGCACATCTTAGATCACCAGTGAATCCTATTAGAAATATTAAGAATCATCTCTTTCCCATTTGCTCTAAAGTCAGCCAAACATGAAATCTTTTACTTTTAAAGCTCAGATTTCGCAAGTAGTTTCCAAGAGCACTACTGGCTGCCCATATGATGGAAAGAAGTCATCCGACAGACACACAGTTTTGAGGGTGGGAGTCAATACCACGGTTGAGTCTCACCACTGGGCTCCATTAGCAATTGCTATGTTATTTGGCTGTCCTGTGAGTCCCCAACACAACCCACTATGAAACATGAGAAAGACAATGCTAATGAATCACTCTTACCTGTCCCTACAACTGATGGCTCATGAAGCCAGCTGGATTATCTGACGTATACCCCAGACCTCAGCACCTCCACACACACCCCATCGCCTTATCATCTATCTCCTCACTCTAAAGTTATGCATCCACTATCTGGGTATTGTGTTTTTGTTAGCTTTTCCTGCTAAGACCATTAAGTGGCTCACTGGTCTATCTGGTTTGATTTCCTCTAGGTTTGCTCCTCAGAACCAAACCTAACCTCTTAGCTAGACTCACCTTTAAAAGGCGGGTAGGAAGCAACTTAGTTTTGCAACAAATAACCTGGCACTTTTCTCATTTATCCCTATTTTTATGTTTAAATATGTTTTTGTGTGTAGGCTTGACACGTAATATATGGAACCAATATGGGAACCAACATAGATAAGAGAATTGAGGTAATAAATGTTTGACTTACTATCACTTAGGGCTAGAACTGGTTTATAATTTAAACAACTAGAAAATTTAGATGTGTTTGCAGCTCACAAGCCAGTCATGTTGAAGATAATTGGGAAAAGAGGTGGATATTTATTATGAAAAGAAAAGGTTAGGCAGATGGTGGAGTGTGAGTGAAATTTGCTGAAATGAGGTCTTGGAAATGAAAAACGGCAGTTTTTATGTGGATCAGCTCTAAAACATCAGGGAGGGAAGCAAGGCTTTTGTAAAAGGAACTTCAACATGAGTCCAACATTCCTGCCCTCATATAGGAGACTCAAAAAGGTGTGTTCAACATAACTGAGGGGATTACACAAAAAGTTGGTTGGTTGTGTACACATTCTGACACTCAAATTACTCTATGTCTATACCCGAGAGCATGGCCAGACCTGGGAGAGGAGGCATGGGAACCCATGAAACAAATTACAGGAGTAAGTGTTGGGGAGTGGGCAACATGAGAGGATAAAGACAAAAATCAACACTTAATTCAGAGAGACTGGACCATCCTCTATGGGGGAAGAAACACAGAGCAGTCTGTGTGTGCTAGCATGTCATCGGTGTATAAGAGCTGGTGACGTGGTAACAAAACTATCTTGCAGATATTTTGTGATAAACATTCTGAAAATTTCTAGTGAGAGAGTACATTGGACAGTATTATTACTCATGTAATATGTGTAATGGACCCCTGATATTATTTTAACTTAGTGTGAGGTATCAGTTATTAGACTTCAGAGGCTATAAGGCACACATAATGTGCCTGGCTGACATGGCTCAGTGTTTGAGCATTGACCTGTGAATTGGGAGGTCACAGTTGGGTTCCTGGTCAGGGCACATTACATGCCCAAGTAGCAGACTCGATCCCTAGTGTGGGGTGTGCAGAAGACAGCCACTTGATGATTCTCATCATTGATGTTTCTATCTCTTGCTCTCTCTCCCTTCCTCTCTGAAATCAATAAAATATATATTTAAAACAAAAAAAAACACATATAATGTATTCAGAGGTTTATTTCTTATCTCTGTGCTCCAACATGATTTTTCATAAGGTCTTAAGTTCACTAATATGACTAATTGTACAACTGGGCTTGAGGACTTGCCTATGTGATTGAGAAGCACTACTATAATTTATGATTGAGAACTACAGTAACAAAACAAATTTACAGATGCTCCTCACCCTAACAAAATTTTTCACTCTATCCAGATCTTTGCTCAATCCTCATATTGATAACGTTAGCATTTTGAGTATTTTCCATGGACAAATAAATTATTTCATTTAATCCTCACATTAAGCATTGAAGGTAAGTATGGCTAATTTTACTTTACTGGCAAT